GCCCCCCTCTTCCGCTGCTCCTCCCTTCGCAAGCCTCCGCCGAAAACTCTTGCTCTCTACTTCGCCTGCCCAGAACCCTCGCCGAAGTCGCCTATCGCAGCTTCCAAAAGCCGTGATCTCGTGATTCCTCCTTCGCGAGAACTCCTCCTTCGAATCTGCGTCCTTCGCGGGAACTCCTCCTTCGAATCTCCGTCGTGGGCCGAAATTTGTACCGCCTCTTGAATACTCTTATGGAACTACATAAAAAATCTTTAAGATACTATTCATTAGGGAGATGATGGACCTGAAAAGCTTGTCGAGATTACTGATGCTGTATCAGTTTTGAGAGCAAGGCTATTGTTCTTCACCAATATCCTGTGTGTTTCTGTCCTCTTTCCATCCTTTCTTCCCCTTCTTATCTGAGCTATTGAACTGCTTGATACATGCTGATCTGTATGGCTGACTACCTTTCTAATTAAGGAGGAAGTACTGCTGAAGCTGCTATTTAAGCTTCTGTTTGGTATGCGGTAACTGCTTGTGCCCGGCCTTGATCTGAAAAGTTCATCCTTCTCTCCCAAAAGTTGAACCCGCTTTTTTTCCTGAAGAACATAATTTATTTGCAATTATCTATTTGAATTGAATTCAACCTTCAAGTTTTTTCCTTTTTTCTTTCTTCCTACTTGGCCGTCTAGTTAAACCTACTTGCACATGTTTGGAGGGGCTGCAGATAATGGTCGTTAAATTACCTGTGCTGGTAGGTCTTTCTAGATTTTTGTATGGAAAGCCATGTAAAATGTTTGGTCAGAGTTGGACATCAAGGAAATAACGATGTTTCAGCTTATTTATATTGTTAATTTGATCTCTAGATTTTATTTTAAGCAATTTGATTTGAAATTACCCTCTGTCTCTGTATCTCTTCCTCCTTTTCTTGCCTTAGCAATTTGTACTCCTCCAGCATTGCCATCAGAGGAACCTGCACAATCAGCTTCCTTCAAGTAGCTACTTGTGTAGAATTATTTTATAAAATGAGCCTACTAAATTTTGTAGCTCATGACATCAATTCTTAATTTGTTACTAATTTCTTAGCTTTTGTGCATATATTTAGAATCAATTGAATGCTTCTTTTCTGTTATAAACATTAAACTAATTAATATGGACTATATGTAAAATACAACTAATATACAAATAAAATGCCTTGGCCTAACAATTAACAGAAAAAAAATAATGAATGATTCCGCGTGGTCATAAAAATTGTATAAGTGCATGTGCCCGTTGCAAAGTTTTAGAGTAATTCATATCTCAACATGACCAGGACACGTGTCAACACTGGCAGGACTTGCACAAGTTTCTGGTTCAGTAATTGTTTAACTCAGGTTGAATGCTCTGAACTTGTTTTTGTTTTTTGATATTTTGTGAAGAAATTGCAATATTGATATTAACAAAATTTTATGTAATGATTGATAATAATGTTGGTGTGTTATTGGTAGTTAAGTATTGTTATAATAGAATAGAGTAGGTGTTTCGTATTAATGCAAAGAGGGGTATAAATACCCTATTACAGGATCTACTAGAAAGGAAACCTATTAAAACATAATAAAGGAAAAAAGGAAAGTAAATAAAAGGAAATCAAAGTAATTAATAAAAAAATCTGCATATTAATATTCCAATATTCTAATACTCCCTCTCAAATTGAAGTATAGAAGTTAGTCATGTTCAACTTGAATTTGAAATCATCGAACAATGACCGAGGAAGGTTCTTTGTGAGAATATCAGCTAGCTGACCACTAGTTGACACAAACGGAACACAAATTTGCCCGGACTCGAGCTTTTCCTTAATGAAGTGACGGTCAATCTCAACTTGCTTGGTGCAATCATGCTGGATTGGGTTGTGAGCAATGCTAATGATAATATTGTAATCACAGAATAATTGTAAGCTAGCGGAGACTGGTATACGGAGTTTGTGGAGCGTGATGCGTAACCATAGATCTTCACAAATTCCTAAGGATATGGACTGAAATTCAGCTTCAGCACTGCTCCGGGTAACTACATATTGTTTTTTTGCTTTTCCATGTACCTAGCTTTCCCCACACAAATGAGCAGCATCCCGAGATAGATCGTCGATTATGGACGGACCCGACCTAATCTGTGTCTGTGTAAACTGTAATAGAATAAAAGGTGTGGTGGGACAAAACTGAGCTCGGTGTGCCTTTTAAATAGTGGAGAATCTGTTGAACAACTTGGAGGTGATTTTTGTAGGGATCATGCATGAATTGACTGACTATCGCAACTGCGTGGTACATGTCTGGGTGTATATGGGCAAGGTAGATGAGTTTTCTCACAAGGCGTTGGTAGCGAGTTTTGTTTACAGGAACAACATTGGGAACATCAAAAAGTTTTTCATTCGGATCCATCAGGACAACCACTCGTTTGCATAGGAGAAGATTATTCTTTGTCAAAAGGTCAATCACTTATTTTCATTGAGAAGACAAATACCCTGAGATGACCGAGCAACTTTCATGCCTAAGAAGTATCGGAGAAATCTCAAGTCCTTCATTTCAAAGGAAGCAACAAGAATGCCTTTAGAGACTCCAATGTTACTAGATCATTACTTGTGAGAACAACATTGTCAACATAGACAATAATGATAGCTACCTGACCACTGGAGGAATGCTAGAAGAAGTGACTAGATTGGGCTTGAATGAATATATGGCCTACCACCACTTTTAGGAATTTCCCAAACCATGCCCGTGGTGATTGCTTCAATCTAAAAAGAGATTTTCGTAGTCTGTATATTTGTCCCTGAGAGGCAGTGGAGTCAAAGCCTGGAGTAAGAGCCATGTATACTTCTTTTGTAAGATCATCATTCAGGAATGTATTCTTGACATCAGGTTGGAATAAGGGCCAATCCAGATCACTGTAAGACATAAGAGGACTTTAATGGTGTTTAATTTAACAACAGGAGTAAATGCCTCATCTTAATCAACTTTGTAGTCTGAGAGTATCCTTTAGTGACCAACCGTATCTTATTGTGTTCAAAGGATCCATTCGATTAAACTTGATGCTAAAATTCCACAACATCCAATTGCTTTCTTGCCCCGAGGAAGATCAACAATGCCTAAATATGGCTTCACTGAAAGGCATTCATTTCCTCCATGACGATAATTTTCCAGGTCGGTGTGCTAAGGCAACCTCAATAATAGCTGAAAGTTGATGATTGGTCAGGGTCGTAGCAAATGCTCTGTAAGTTGGAGATAATCTGCAAAGAGAGACATAGTTTACCATGGGATAGGGAAAATCTGTCTGATGTTGTACCTTACTAGAGGAACTGACCTCATTTGGAGTAGGAGCAGTGTTGGGGATGTCGTCCGAAGAGGATTCAGAGTCCAACAAGGGGTTAGCGAGCTATAGAGTAGGCGCATCAAAATGAGTGTGTCGAGTGTAGACACAGAGAGTGGGAGGATTTGCTGGTGGAACCAAAGGGACAGAGGGTTCCTCAATGGTAGGTAACGTGGGGAGGGGGGGGACATCCATAGGAGTAGGGTAAAGAACTGTGTCCAATAACTCTAGCTCCCTCTCATTAGAGGCTGAGTTAAGAAAGTAACGAACACTTTCAAAAAAGGAGATATCAAAACTCACATAGACCTTATTTGTGGTAGGTCTATGTCAATTTACTGGCAGATAAAATGTTACATTTCAACGGAGGTTGTAAGATAGATTATAGTGTTAGACTTGTTAAAATAACAGACCCTTTACCGACAATGAAACTTTGGGACCTAGCATAATTTTTAACATATTTTTTTCTGAACAAGGATAGTATGTCGAGAAGGCTTGAGAGCTTCTAGTCATAATGTACGTTGCACTTGAATCAATGATCCATGGAATAAAAGAAGTAAGTGTCACATGATTGGTACATTGACGAATGTGGGAGGTCAACGACCCAAAAGCGAATGAACTGGATCCAAGCAGCTTGATTAAGTGCTCCATTTGAATCTTAAGAGAATTGGAGGATTCCAAATTATTTTGGGTAGAAACCGGATGCACTGTAATGGATTCAGAAGCTGTAGCGAGACCTTTGGCAGCAGAAGATTTGGCCGAAGAGATCATGTATTGTGCTCTTTTCATTTTTATTTCTAACTCTTTATCATGTTGGGAATTTTTACATGCAGCTTTCTTCATTAAATATTTTCTCGTTCTACTAGAATTATTAACTACTGTTAGACCTTACTCATGTTAAATTGTGCTTAAATATCAATTATTTATTAAAATATTACTTGTTTTGTAATTGTATTTTTTTTTTGTTGATAAAGATAGTGAAAGATGATTCAGAAGTCTGGCCCCAAATAGTATGGCTAAGTCTAAGTTGATGATGAAATGTGAACGAGCGATTGCCACCGAAGATGGCCTTTTGTTCACTAAATGTAAGCGAATAGAACTTTCAAAAGAAAGGTGTGTCTACTGACAGTAATTCTTGTGATGCAAACTATGATTATTTTCCGGATGGAAAAAAAAAGGGATCGGTAATCTTTGTTTGATAAGAGGCAAGAAATCTAAAACTATTCTAGGTTCATGTAAGTTTGTTTTGATTTAGGTGCTGTTTAAATTTTATTATAATTTTTTCGTTTAATGTCTGATCCATCCTAGTTCGTTGAGGAAGCCTTGTTAAGTTTCATCATATTGTTCCTTGGGCATAAAATGGTTTCAAGTTTTAACTTCTTTTTTTTACTGATTTTAGGTGTAGTTGTTCAATGAACATATTATTGTTTTGTTCAATTTTTTTTTATATTTTTCAACAGCGAACAGCTTTTTCTTTTGAATTATGCGGCACTTAGGTTAGTCGTTTGCAATCAATTAAAATGGAATTATATATCATACCAGAAATGGCTTTGTTAAATGTATATAATAATTATCTGCAACCCAGACGGCCTGCAACTGAACATTTTATTGGAGTTCATTGAATTCTTTTCATATGCCTTACTCTTAACCCTCTGAGCCTCACCAATTTTGATATGTGATATTTTTTTGACCTTCAAATTGTGCTGCGTTATTTTTCTTTTGGCCTTTTAAACCGTATATGATCTTTTGTTAAGTTTTTTTTTTTCCTTTTTTTTTTGCGCATTATGTATGATTGGATAAAGAGGATATCATGTGTATATATATGAAAAGACTTATTTGATTTTGTGGTACTGTCGAGAATTGGGCATACTTTAATTATGTTTATTTGTATGTTTTAAGCTACAAAACTTGATAGAATAGTTTCAGGTTTAAATTATTTATGCATTGTTCAGAATTTTTATTGGAAAAGGATTCGCAGACTCAACTGTGTGAAGCCCACCAAGAATGATGCTTAACCAAAATTCATGATTGAGAAAGATTGAACTAGAAGCCTTGGTTGATGAAGATTGATCTAAGATTTCTTTTGTTTTATTTATATTGACCATGGGCTGCACGGGATTACAATCGGTGGGCATGCAAAGTATTTCTCCTTTCAGGATTGTTTTTATAAATCATAGTTTCACATTTAAGGCTCCAGATTTATTTACTGAGTTTTTTCATATTGTTACAATTGTATGTATTTTTAACTTAATCTCGAAAACTATGGGTTACAATTCTTCCATATATTTTTTTTAGTTTTTTATATATTTGTATGAAACCATCAGATGAAAAGTTGAAGACTGTAACAGTTCATTGTTCAGGTTTTAGCCAGAAATACTGAAAGAAATTTTTATTGGTAAAACTTGCAATTCAATTCGCACAGTTGAAACCAAATATGAGCTAAGAGGACTATTTCAGTACATAATAAGTACAGCAACTATATATGAATTATGAATTTTCAGTTTAGTGCATCGGTGCATGTTTTAGTTCTGTATCAGTAATATTTTCTAAATTCTGCAAATATTGAAGTCTTTTCTGGAAATGCAATTTAATCTATGATGAAACTCTTTGCAAAGAGTGAATCGTTGGACTATTTTGAACATGCCAAGGATATTTTATTCAAAAAATTCTCTCTTTCCCACTTTGGGCAACTTTTTCTGTGGCTGTGCAGCATGCTAAAGATGACAAATATCATAATATCATAATGCATGTTTAGAATATAAGGGCTAGCAAATTAAAGTTTACTCTGAATGTCTGACCTCATCATACAGGAAACTCTTCTTCCTTTCCGTTTCCCAAATTTTAGTTTTCTCCATTATTATTTCCACCAATCCTGCAACAAAACTTTCATGTTAACTTAATCACTGTAGTTTCTCTTATTGTCAAAATCTATTACCTGGAATTCTTTTCGCTGTTATCCTAGCACGTTCGGCACGTTTGAGATTCTTGTGAGCACCTCTGCTAACCGAATACCTGTTTTCATCCTGTAAATTCCGGTTGAAGGATGTCTCAGTTAAATTTTATGGTGAAAAGTAAGGGAAATTTACTTACATACCCCAAAATTCTTATGAATTTAAATGTCCAACACCTAAAGTTTGATATTTACATTTATAACACATTGTTATTTAAAACCTATGCATACAAAGGTGTATTCCACTTTTAAAATGTTAGTGATAGTGGTATTTTTTGATGTTTTGTCAATGATTTGTGTGTTATGTATGTAAAAAAAATGAAACTTTAGGTTTTAGATATGTAAATATATAAGAGTTGTGTGGTATGTATGTAAATGCCTAATTATTCGAACTATAATAGCTGGCATGGTGAGTCACCCTGCTAAACTCTTCTAGCCAACGTTCTTCATTGCATGATGCCATCCATTTTTCAACCTTCTCCATTATATCCTTCCTGCTTGACACCTCTTCTTTCGCCTTGGAAATATATTCTTCCATGCTCATTAAGAGATCGTCGTGCTCCATCTCTCCTTTAAGTCATTTTATGTGTGTTTATCAAAATGAAAGAAAATTATGAGAATCATTTGGCTTGACGAAATCATACCTTGCATGATGAGATTCATGGTGTTTTCCATCTCTGACTGTGGAGGTAACTCCATGTGAGACTTCTTGCATATTTCCTCAAGTTCTATCTGTTTATTGATGAAGAGCTCCTTCATTTTACTTGCTTTTAACTGATCTAATCTTGCAACTTCAGACTCAACCTACCATGTTAGGGGGGAAAATATGAAATTGAATTTTAAAAGCCAAATCTGTAATATTATTCCAAGCTTGAATATTTACTTCTTGGTCCTCGTACCTGGTCAATTATGTCGACTGTGAGGCTTTCGGGGCGAGCATCGCCAGCCGAGGCTGATGGTGATATGATCACTATATCTATGTATGGTTGTCGATCTTTGAGTGGTGCATCCATTAGATTCCACAAATTTACGAGTTTTTTTCCAAGCCTGCTTAGCTGTAGATATATAATATGTTATTGATATTATGCTAAAATTGTTGGCGTAAACCTTCATTAGTCATATTTCATGGGAATGAAATAACCTGGAATATAACCAAAATTTAATGGCTAGAACCCCTAAAATTTAAATATTATATGAATGCTGCTACATTCATTTCTGTGGAAGGTTAAGGAAGAATAAGTACTTTGTCCGCCTGGTCCTTCTTCTTCCCTAACCATCATGTAAACTGTATGGTCATGTTATTATTTTTACCAAAAGGGCTGTTTAGATAATTTTGTTAATTTTGAGGATATAATATTTTCCTTATTAGATGGAAGGCATACACTTCACAATTGTTTCAATCGTTTTTAGGACATAGAAAAGAAAACTGAAAGCTGATTTTTTACTTTCTGAAGTTGCACCAGTTAAGATTAGGCTATAAGCTTTCCCCTCTTATTGTATATTGAATTTATACTTATTTTATTTGTTTGTTATTGTCAGTCCCAAGTGGAAATGATTGATGATTGATTTTAGACTGATAGTCAATTGTTAAGATTTTAATTGAATTCATTGTGAATGAAATTTTGATTTTTGCTGGAAATAGGGCATTCTTTAGAGTTGAAGTATTACAATCTAAACTATGCAGTGATTGGTGAGGGATCACAATTAAGTGACACAACATAACAACCCATTTAAAATATGGGTCAACCTTGAGTTGGTCTGGAACTAAAATTTGGATATTTATAAAATTTAGGAATTTGAATGGAGAAAAGAATTGATGGTCATAAAAGTGTTGTTGTGAATTGGGGTAGTGATAAGTAGGATATTATAAATGTGATTTGTGTTTGTATTTCTCAGGTTGGATTATTAGGTAGTTTGAAAAATTAATTTTGGGGAGAAAGTGATGTGCTTTAACGATGTGTATTCTTGAGGAAGAGGGACTAACTATTAGGGGTGATTTAAATGAACATATATGCTCGAGTAAGGTGGGCTATGAGAGGATTTTGATGGGAATTATTGATCCTATGAGCCCATATGATTCATGTCCGGCTTGCTATTGATTCAATAATTACAAAATTTGTGTGGTATGACCTAATTATTTTCCTAGTGTTTCATTTTGTGTTTATTATTGTATAGTAACCAAGAAGAAGATGATGTCTTTCAATAAACAACTAGGACTGTTCACTTGGAGAAAAGAGCTAAAGTGATTAATTTATGGAGAATCAAGTGAAGAATCAAAGATTTTAAGAATCAAGCTGACTCTGTGTTTTTCATAAATTTCAGTATGAATTGATTAGGTGTTGTCAAGAATGATGAACATATAACCAAAAGATAATATTATATATAAAAAACAATCTAAAGTATATATGTGTGTGTGTGTGTGTGTTGCAAGCCGTGGCCTGTTGGTTGACGGGGTTCACTGTAAGTCCCCTCAGGTCACGAGTTCCATTACACTAATTACGTTGGGTTCAACTATTTGTAAATAAATTTTATACACTCATTACTTATATTTATCTAATTATGTTAAATACAAGTTTTTCATAAAATTTAACAAATTGTCACTCTAATTCGCTGGGTTCAACTATGCCTTTTGACATACCAGAACCAGCCCAATGTGCATATGATGGAGTGTTGACATGACCCAACAAGTTTAGTGACTTATATTTTGATTAGCTAGTGGTGGGACTTTTTGGAACCATTGGGCAGCCGTTTATTTTCTTTTGGAGGAGTTTTTGGAATATTTTAAGGAGTTTTGATATTGATTTTAAGTGGTTTTTAAGTCTAGAAATAATCCATATATTTGAGAAGAAAAATCTAAGGATGAGTGATTGAAAGAGATTTTCATTGTAATTCCTTCCTAAATTTTTAAAATGTAAGAAGTATCTTGTTTAGTAATATATTGCATCTTTCAATCTATGTTCATGTAATTGATTTTCAATAGTGTAGCATTATATTATTTGTGATGGCAATTATTTGAACATTTAGGTGATTGTCTAGTGACACCTAAAATTCAAGATGACTTGGTTTGGATTTTTATAATGTAATCCTAGAGTTATGTCAATTGAAATTGGTGGATCTTTCCTTGTAGAGCTCAGGTGCACTTGTCCAATCCTTCAGCGGTCCTATTCTTTCTTAACAAAGAAGGTATAAAGCATAAATACACCTCCAACTTCTCGAAGTGTGTAGGTGGACTTGTAGTTGTAAGTTCTGGATAGTTGAATCTTAATCTATGGTCAAGTTCAAATTGGTGGACTTTTGTTTTTAAAACTCAGGTGCCTTTGCTAGATTAAAAAGTGGAACTGCTTTAACGAAGACGTTGTAAAGATTTCTCCACCTAATTGAGGATAAGATATAGGGTTTAAGTTTGTGTAGATGTAGGTTTGTTGGTTGTCAAACCACTATTAATTATATATTTATAATTTAGTTTCTATTCTTGTTTTTTATTGTTTATTTACTTAATTAGTTGTTCTTGATTATTAATGTGCTGAATGCAATGTATATTCTTACGCTCCAGCATTGAGTAGCTTATTTTTATTATGCTTATAAGTTTATCACCCTCACTTACTATAGATCTATTTAGTTCACCATATATAGTATTTGTGTAGCTTAGGTGCTTAGTGTATTAATTGTTATAGTTTGTGAAATTTAGTTACCATTTATATTGTGCTTATTAGTTTATATAACTCTCTTGGTTAATTATTCAAACTTTAACATAAGTTCACTTATGTGCTGTCACTTGTAGAATTAAGTTATTTGATTATAAATAGGCATATTCTAATATGTTCCGCCCAATTTAATGTGTCCTTGGCCTATCTATGGTCATTTTAGTTCCACCCAATTTAATGTGTCCAATTTAGTCTCTTTACTCTTCAAATTTGATCCAAAATGTATTTATGGTCATTTAGTTCCATCCAATTTAATGTGTCCAATTTAGTCTCTTGACTCATCAAATCTAATCCAAAATAATTCAACGGCATATTTTAGGAGTCAAGAAATTAAATAAAATACATTGGATTGCTAAGATGGAAATTGTTTCACGCAAATTGTACACACGTCATTTTGACATCCTTCTCTGATGATAATAAAAGTAGATGCAATGAAATTATGTGAAAGATAAAGGCTTAGAAAAATTGTGCCAGTATCAAATAATAAATTTGGTTTCATGGCTAAAGTCCCGCTTTGAAAGTAATAAACCAAGAAAATTGATGATAATATATAGAGTATATAAAAGATTTTTATATGATTTTTTACTTTTTTTTTAAGAAGGCTTATATGAGTATTACAAGAATTTATTTGTTGCACATTAAAAAAAAAGAATGAGATAAGTAATAGGGAATCTAGGAGCAAAAAATAAAATAAAATAAGGGGAAAAAATCCTATTTTTATTGCATTAGTTAATAAAATTGGGTTAGTCACTAGACCTCTACCATGTTCTTACTCTTGGACTGATTTAAGGGATTCTAAATTTATTATTGATAAGAAATGTACTCAGTAAAATTTGCTATAGTTGGGCACTATATAGATGAGACTAGCCATGATGTCATGGCTGATCTTGTATTGTTTTGAGGAAGATAAACATTATAAAAGAGAAATTTAATATTGTACAAATATTTATATCTCCATCCAACAACACCTAACTTTTTAGGAGTATTAGCGTTAAAATAGAAGAGGAAAAATAAACATAGGAAGAGCAAGTCACTCTCTTATTAGGTTAGGTAAGAGCAGAACAGGCTACTTTCTTGTTAATTCATACAAACCAATTACAGAGCTCAGCGAAACTGGAGTGACCCACCAAAAATATAACTCATATCATTTGCTGGTGCAAACAAATCTCAGAAGTGGATAGTTAAATAGCTTAATTATAACTTACACTATTCTTTTCTTTGAAGAGATCAAGATGTCTCCTTTATCCATGCATGGGCACAAACAAATCTCAGAAGTGGATATGAAGTTACCATGATCAAAGAGGTTTCTATTTTCAATCTAGGTTACCTCAAATTTTAAACAAGAATTTGAGTCATTGTAAACATTTGAACACATGGAGGGGTGTAAGAAGTCATAGTTAAATAACTTAATTATAACTTGCACTGATATTTTCTTTAAGGTTGGCTTGAACCAAGTGGAGGAACAAATTTGAATGAATTAAAACTGCCTGCAACTAATTAGAGGATAGATAAAAAAAAAATCTCAAAATAATGAGATCTAGATGTTTCCTTTATCCACGCATCAGCAACTGAATGATGATTCTTCGAGGGATTTAGGACAATTATAAGCTATATTGACATATTTAGAGACTAAGATTTAGTAGTAAGCTAGATCACTTATATGATAAGTTATCTTGTGGATTTCCTTTTTTAATTATTGTATTAACTCTCAATGGCTATAATAAGGAATTCGTTGTATTTATTTTTTATTATAATTCAAATTATGATTCCTGTCTACAAACCCTAGCTCTCTCTCTCTCTCTCTCTCTCTCTCTCTCTCTCTCTCTCTCTCTCTCTCTCTCTCTCTCTCACACACACACACACACACACACACACACACACGTTCTAAATCCACTCAATGAGGAAAGGAGCAAATAAAAGTGAAGGAGGATACGGAGAAAGTTGCAATACAAGGAGAAAGTTGCAATACAAGGGAGGAACTCTGCAAGAGGTGCAGACCATCAATAGCTTTTGAGTGCTAGGTAAAAACAATCTTATCTAGATTGATTAATCTCTTTGTGTTTGCTAGTCTCTAAATCAAAGTTTTTCAAACCTATATTTTGTTGGCCCAATTTCACAAGTGCCATTTGGAACTCGTATACTGTAATTCAATTAGAACCTCAGCAACAAATTGCCTCTTCTATTTGTCATTTACTTGGTTCCATCTACTATTAAGAAAAGTAGATATTAGTTTTAATGGCGGATATTGACATGATGATGATGATATGACTTCACTGACATACATACTGTATGTTTTCTACAAATTTTTTCCAATTTGTATATCATCACATGAATTACATATTCTACTCTAACTTTGCACAAACTAACTCCAGATTAAGTAGTTTCAAATGATCAAAAGCATTCATTGAACCCACCTTGCAATTTCACTGTTCAGTCAACAAAAAAAATATCAGTAATCAAAATAGCTTGAAAAAAAAGAAAAAGAAAAAGAAAAAAAAAAGACCTCCTTACCTTGTCCATCCTTTTTTTCTTCTCATCTTTGAGTAAATTAACGGTAGTATCAAGCCTCTCCAAGATGGCATCACTTATGTTCTTCGATCTCTTTTCACTCGAGTCATCCAAGCTGTGATGTACATCACCAACGATCTTGGCAGAGTTCATACCCATTGTTGCAGCAAGTTCACGAACTTCTCCTAAATACCTTTCCACCTTTTGTATCCTATCACTCTTCCAAACCACAAAACATTAAAGAAAACAACCAAATTTAAAATAAATATCATCTTAAATTCGTGTGAGTACCTTCTCGCGTTTCAGTCTTTGACGCTCCCTGTTATACTCTTCCAGCTTCTTCAGCGAAAGCTCACTTTCATCCACTGTAAAATTTTCAAATTCATCCGAGCGACCTGCAATGTCCAACTTTATTTTCTGTATTTCTGTCAGCACTTCCTTAAACTGGCTTACCCTCTCTTCCTTCTTTAGCTGCATCCTCCTTAGGGCAGGGGTGATTAAATCCAGTTGCTCCTTCAATGTCCCCATCAACTTCTCCGGCAATGTAGAATAGAATTTATCAGCTCTCAATCGCCTCACATTTTACATAAATAAACAGGATAAGCTCTTAATCTATAGCATCTCACCCGTCCCGGCAACGATCTCTCTCCGAGCGAGATTAGAAGATTGGTAAATTCAGCTTCTGAATCGGCCAATGCTTGATGCAGACGCACTCTCGAAATGTTAGCCCTGTCGACTTTCCTCTTGTAGACTTCCAGGCACTGTTCCAGTTCTTGCAGAATCCTTTCCCTCTCCGCTTGGTCTTGTCCCACCTCATTCCATATCAGCTGTTCAAGTTGATATTCATCTGTAGAATGAGAATCAAAATAAATTTGTGGAGCTAAGTATAATCTTGTTACCTTCAGTTCTTCTAGCAGGTAAGAACAGGTGCATTCAGGCAAGGCGGGCATTTTGAATGAACTCATCTGCTGTTGCAGGGGGAGCGAAATTCTTAAAATGTACATAAAATGAAGTCTTGAGAAGGAGAAAGGTGGGGAGTAAATGGTGGAAGTTGAGGTTTTGGATTGCGGGCATTGCTTGGAAGACAAGCAGAGTGCCAGTGTTAGGTACTGCGACTGAGCTAACAAAAAAGATTGAAGCTTTGGAGTTAAGTGTCCCTGATCTCATTATCTTTTTAGTTTTAAATATTTTTGCTCTATTCTATGGGACCAACGTTTGTATTTTTATTGAAGATCTTGTTTTTTGGCCCAAGCTTTGTGTGACAGATGGAGCCTCTCATTCAGGTGATGTTGGTTTTGTGTCATTATCTGATTTTCTGATGCTCTTTCAGGCTGTATGATGCTGACGCTTTATCCATTCGATAGGTACTGATGATATTATTTTATTAATTGCTGTTATTTATGTATTTGAATTTAATAGTTTTGGTGAGATTTTGTTTTTTTTTTTATAAGACGGTGGTGAGACCTGCAATGCTCTATGGCGCTGAATGTTGGCCTTTAAAAGAGAAGCATAATAATAAGTTAAGTGTTGCCGAGATGAGAATGATTAGGTGGATGAGTGGCTTTACACTTAGAGACAAAATGCGGAATGAATATATTCGTGATAGGGTTGGTGTAGCTCCTGTGACAGACAAAATTAGAGAAAGTCGTCTTAGATGGTTTGGTCATATTAAACGTCGACCATTAGATGATCCGATTAGGAGAGTAGATGCTTTAAATTCGACTTGTGTTAAGAAAGGCAGAGGTAGACCTAGGAAGACTTGGGCTTATTGTATTAAAAATGATCTTAATTTACTAGAACTAAATGAAAATATGACACTAAATAGGACAATGGAGAAAAAGGATTCATGTAGCCGACCCCACATAGTGGGATTAAGGCTTTGTTGTTGTTGTTACTGTAGCATGCAGTCCCATTGCTGCATCTTTCATCCCTATGGAAGAATATTTGTTTTTTACTTTCCTTAATTTAGGAAGAATGGTGGTATGATATCCTTTATTGCGGCCTGATTAAATTATAAATTTATTTGCAAAATTTTCCTTTTATCCATAATTGATCTCTTTGAAATTTTTTATAATTTGATCGTAATTCTATCATATAATTTTCGGGGAAATATCAAATTGTAACTTTGAGAAGACTTTAAATAAGATTTTAAAAAGAAATTTGGTAGGATTCGATAAACAAAATAATGAGGTATTTAATTAATTGATCCAAACACTTGACATGTAGTTGGCTCTCAAACGTTGCATCATGGCAGAGCTTTTTTTTAAAATTATTCGATCTATTAGGGTAGATAGTCTAACTAAAGGATCATTGATTTGTTTTGACAATTGATTTGATTTGTAACTTAGATAGAGCTTTGATCGAAGCAAGTTAGCCAAGTCATGAGCCACATTATCGAATGGACTTCATATTCAATTTGATTTTGAGCTATCGGTCAATAGACCGAAGAGAACTCAAAATGATGTCAAAATCTTTTTACTATTGTTGTAGGTTAGAAAATTCATAATGGTGAACTAAGAGCTTTTTCAACTTTTCTAACATTGGACCTTGTGCAAAGCTTAGAATTATTCAAATTTTCAAGCTCTCTCAACTTTTCTCCCAAATCATGTGAAGCATGAAGCTTTATTTGTAGAGTTTTGAGGTGTACGCTAATACATTTAGCTAAAACTCTAAAAATACTTTGTCAGGCATCCTTTGTTGATTTCTTTGATTGTACATTAATTTTAGCATTTAAGTATTTTACTAAATTTAGTATTGAATGACTTAGGCTCGTTGGATTTTTATCGTAGTTACACTTGATTTAACTGTAAGCATGTTGAATTGGGAGATCATTTGACATTATAATTACTACTTTAAAGTTTCTAATTATATTTCAAGTGCTTGATTCGGGCTCATTGGGATTTGAAGTAGCTTGGTTTTAGTGTCGTTTCATTTGTCTCATTTAGATGTTCATCTGACTATAAATTTATTAAACTCAGAGCTTGGTGGTCAAAACTTGAATATGAAAGTTATTTTATTCGAAATACACTCATTCATGCTTGATCAAGTAAATTTTTGGGTGACACATCAATTATATTTTTCTTTACATCTTATTTAATATAATATTATTTAATTTTCTTAGAAAAAGTTATTTGGATAAATTTTATTGAAGTTTTAGAGGGGTGTAAAAAAAATTACTTACTCGACAATTCGGCTAAAAAATTCTGGGTTCAGGTTGGCTCAATTAATTTTTTGGTTAAGTTCGGGTTAAGAATTAGAACAAAGTTTTTTTTTTTTTTTGATACTGTTTTGATTGACCTGCCAATCCAAAATGAACTTGCCAACTCAAAATTGACATGAATTTGACTAGCCAAACCAAAGTTTATCTGAATTTCATAGAATAATTATTATGAATATGCTTAATGGATTACACATATCGGGTTCTGGTTAGTAGGGTTGAAGGCACATCATATTTGGTTTAGATTTTCTAATCAATTTGATATTCGTGTTAGTTTCATGTTATGTCAACTTTGAGTTATACCTAAACCTAACACAATAACTCTGTCTAAAAACCCTAATGAGAGGAATGGTAAGCTTGCATCTAATATTTTTAATCTTGTCTTAATCATATGGTGTGAATGATTCCCTAGAGGAGAATTACCATTCTCCATCCAATTAAGGGCCCGTTTGGGGCAGCTTATTTGGTGCGGT